AATTTTAAAAAATAAATAAAATAAAAAAGTCTATTAACAATAAAATAATAAATAAGTATATTACATATTTTATTACAAGGTGATAAGTGCTATGGAAAAAACACAGAGCATGGCAAGGAAGATCAGGAGTTGGAGTAAAGGTGGGAGCATTAGGGGATGTAATATTAATTAGATTAGTCAAGGCAACACTCACTGAGGTGGTCATATTTGAGTAGTGGAATTATCCATGTGGATTCAAATGGAAAAGCTTTCCAGGCAGAAGGAACAGTTACTTCAAAAGTCTAATATATGAGATTTCATACATTAGGAAGAAACATTATTTCCTCCAGAATCAAAAGTTCCATAAAACATTGGCAGAGATTCCTTACAATGGTTATATTGGATATGTTTAATATACATAAAATGCCTTCCATTTTCATTAAAAATGTAATTTCTTAAGCTTTACTATCTAGGAAAAATAAGTATACAGTAGAAAAATAGATAGTAGTAATAGTAGCTACCATCGCTGGTTATTTACTATAACTGAAGTGTTTTACATACATTATTTCATTTAATCCTCACAAATCCTTGTGAGAAGAGTATTACTGGCTCCACTTTACAGACCATAAAACTGAGGCTTAGAAATGGTAGCTATTTAGGTAAGGCATTGCGAATGAGTAAAGTCCATTCCCCTTCAATACTTGGGTCCTAACCACAACAATATACTACACGGTCTATGAAAAGAGAACAGAAAATACTAATAGTTGTTTGACTACTATACTTGCATATAGCATCCTACAGATTTTAGACATACCAAAAACTACAACACATCACTCTTTTCTGTAAAGGAATAAAAAAGAAAGACGGAACAGGTGTGGTGGCTCACACCTGTAATCCTAGCATTCTGGGAGGCCAACATGGGAGGATCGCTTGAGACCAGGAGTTCCAGACCAACCTGAGCAAGAGCAAGACCTCATCTCTACTAAAAATAGAAAAAATTACCCGAGCATGGTGGCACATGCCTGTCGTCCCAGCTACTCGGCAGGCTGAGGCAGGAGGACTGCTTGAGCCCAGGAGTTTGAGGATAACACCACTGCACTCTTGCCAGGATGACAGAGCAAGACTCTGTCTCAAAAAACAAAAAAGGGAAGGAGAAATATAGACAGAATTGCAAATGATGTGATACTAGACCTTTCTAAGCAAAAGTCTTTAACTTATTTTCCACTGACTCTTCTCAGCAAAACTTTATAATATGAGAACATGTTCAAAAGAGTAAAACTTGACTATAAGACAATAATTGAGCTAAAATTTCACTTAAACTGTTTTGGATGTAGATAATTTCCTTAAAACTAAAGACTGTAATAACTCAGCACTCCATGAGCACATTTCTTAATCTCTTTACCCATAAAGAGTGCTTCCTTTACCTGGGATGAATAAGAAAAACACTAGCAGTTTTTTATTGCTTTTTTTTTTTAGAGACAAGGTCTTGCTATGTTGGCCAGGCTTGTCTCAAACTCCTGGGTTCAAGCAATCCTCCCGCCTCAGCCTCCAGAGTATCTGGGACTATAGGTGCGTGCCAGCACACTCAGCTAACACTAGCAGTTTTGAGTCAAGTTTTACAAGACGGGAAAAATAATTTCTAAGAAACAGGAATTGCATTGTTGACAGAACATTAGACTCAGTAGATTAATCTGATATAGCAATGTCCATATTCCTAATTTAATCAGGAAGAACATAATGCCAACTGTAAGGGCACCTACACAGCAAGCTAATAAACATAGCCGCTCTCATAAAGAGAGTCCAGAGCTCTTTCAATAACCACATAGTGAGATAACTTGTGTTAAGGACAGTTCATCTCTACCTCTATAGTTGATCAAAATTCCAAACCCATCTTAGGAGAAATAATGCCATCTATAAAATTTGGCTTCATAGGAGACTTCATACACTTACTGACTTAATAGGACAATTTCAATCCAATTTCATTCAGAGGTCAACCTAGCTACATGGCTACCTGGTTGCCAGCCAAAATACATAACCTTTGCCAACTATACATCTCTCTGCAATAAAGTATATATTTAAAAAAAAAAGCTGAGAAACTTTCGCTTATACACCAAATTTAACACATAGAAAATACAGACTTACCTGTCAAAAATAAAAAGCCTTCTTTAACTCGAAGTCTCTTCTGGAAAATCTTGATCTTGTAAATCTTTTATTTCTTCTTCACTGAAAACAAGTATAATTAAAGGGTGTGCACATCTCTAAGACTGAATACTAAAATGAAACTGAAATCATCTGTTAGTCACATGAGGCATTTTCCAATCTAGTGATAAGAGTCTGTATCACTGTGAATACAGTACACCCTTTCTAACCACCTCCTTGAAGGGAAGAAATGACATGACTCTTCATATAGGGTGACGAGGTTTCAAGCTTTCACTGTATTCGTCAATTAAGTCTTAGGAAAATACAATTTTCCTAACAGCATATCCAAGTGGATAACAAGTCATGTTTGAAAAGGAGAGAGATTCTTGAATTTGAAATATCCTGAAAAAGTATCATTAACTTAACCCTACGTACTTTTTGACCTGTATACCCTCTCAAACACTATGCCCCAAAAATATGATTATTGGTCTCTATTCCTAAAATAAACACTACTTTTCTTCCATTTCCAAGACTTTGCTCAAGGTTATTTATTGTCTAGAATAACTGCCATCTATCTGGTAAATTCTAATAATCCTTTAAGAATCAGCTCAAGGCTGGGTGCGGTGACTTACACCAGTAATCGTAGCGCTTCGGGAGTCTGAGGAAGGAAGATCGCTTGAGATCAGGAGTTTAAAGCCAACCTGAGCAAAGAGAGAATGCGTCTCTACAAAAAATACAAAAATTAGCCTGTAGTCCCAACTACCCATGAGGATCACTTGAGGTTGCAGTGAGCTATGATGATGCCACTGCACTCTAGCCCGGGCAACAGAGCAAGATCTTGTCTCAAGGAAAAAAAATCAGCTCAAAACCCACCAACTTTAAACTTTCCCAGATTTTCTCAATAAGTATGATTCTCCTCGTTCTTCCTTGCAATCCTATCACTTTATTACCTATACTTCTAATATTTACCCACATATAATTTTTTTTTTTGAGAGACAGGGTCTTGCCCTGTTGCCCAGGCTGGAGTGCAATGGTGTGATCATAGCTCACTGTAATCTCGAACTCCTGGGCTCAAGCAATCCTCCTATCTCAGCCTCCTGAGTAGTTGGGACTACAGGCAGATGCCACCACACCCAGCTAATTTTTCTTATTTTTAAAGAGACAGGCTCTCACTATGTTTCCCAGGCTAGTCTCAAACTCCCAGCCTCAATCAAGCAAGCCTCTCACCTTGGCCTCCCAAAGTGCTGGGATTACAAGCATGAGCCACTGCGCCCAGCCTACACATGCTTTAAAATAAGGTCATGTATGTCTCTTTCATGGTTATGACCCTCTAGAAAACAAAGACTATTTTATTCATTTTTAATACCTTCTCAATATGTCTACAACAATACTTTGCATGTCTTAGACAAATAATAAATGATTGCAAGTGTAACTGAACAGAATGTAAAAATCTTTGGTCTTATTTCTTGTAGAGGAACTTAAACTTCAAGTCACATTGCTAAACATATCCACAAAGACTTAATTTTGTATCTGTAGCCTAGATTTATCCTCTGAGCTCAACCCATATAGCTGTCTACAGATTTCTTTATCTGTATATACCGGGCGTGGTGGCTCACGCCTGTAATCCTAGCACTATGGGAGGCTGAGGTGGGCGGATGGTTTGAGCTCAGGAGTTCGAGACCAGCCTGAGCAAGAGTGAGACCCCCACCTCTACTAATAAAAAATAGAAAGAAATTAGCTGGACAACTAAACATATATATACATATATAAATTAGCCGGGCATGGTGGCGCATGCCTGTAGTCCCAGCTACTCGGGAGGCTGAGGCAGGAGGATCGCTTGAGCCCAGGAGTTTGAGGTTGCTGCCACTGCACTCTTGCCCGGGCAACAGAGCGAGACTCTGTCTCAAAAAAAAAAAAAAAAGAACATTAAAAATGCCTATCCTAAATTTTGGAATCAAGCGTCCAATGTGTCAATTCCTCATTTACTTTTTTAAAAAGAGTGGGCTGGTACAGTGGATATCTTCTACATCCCGTTTGGGGTAATGATTGCATACAACTGTTACTCATAACTCGATGGAATTGATTACAGGATCTCTACATTTTCTTTCAGGTAAACTGTAATTCAACTTTTTAATGGGAAGTAGTAGTTAATACTTGCCTGATTAGAAAAGAACTCGTTAGAGAAAAAGTAAGTCCCTTTCAGCTTGGGCATAAAACTCCTCAAGACCAACCCAGTTTCCTGGGCAGCGCAGGGAGGGAGGGAGGCAAGCTCCGGGAATCTCACCGGACAGGGGCAAGTGTTGGTGCGAGGAAGGTAGGAACAAGGCTGCAGAGCTGGGTTCGCAAAGCTCTGTCACCTGGGCAAGTTTCCCAATCTCCATTTTTCACTTGTAAAATGGTGACAAAAAATCGTGCTTACCTCTTAATGTTGTTTTGAGGATTAAATGAGATGTTTGCAGAAAGCACTTAGCACAGCAGTAAGCGCTAGGTAAAAATTAATTACCATTATTTCTTATAAAAAATAAACGGGCTACCTCTCACAAACACACCCCGCCATAGCCTAAAAACCTGACGGGCAATCATTCCCAGTATTTAGTACTCGATAACTAACGTCGAACCTGCCTGCTCCTGGCTCCATCCCAAGACTCGCAGGTTAAAAAGTGTCTAGGCCACTTGGATGCACTCGCCCGCCTGGACACAAACCCCTGTGAAGCACCAAGCTCTGTGACAGGCCCGGACGCCCGCCTCGCCTCACGCCACCTCTCACCACGCGCCAGCCTTCCAGCTGCCGCCGCCCGCGGGGTGCCACGTGACCTCTGGCCCCGCCCCCGACCCAGAGGCCAATCCTCTTCTTCCTGGCTCGAGCGGCGTCACGTGAGCGCTGCTCCCGACCCGCGGCCTGCTTGGTTGGCGCACTCTGTGCGCGGCCGCCTGGTACGTCACGCGGGGCGGCTGAAGCGGACATGGCTGTCATGCTGCAGCGCATCGAGCGGCTGTCCAGTCGAGTGGTGCGTGTGTTGGGCTGTAACCCGGGTCCAATGACCCTGCAGGGCACCAACACCTACCTAGTGGGGACCGGCTCCAGGTAAACGTCCCGCCCTCGCAACCCCCAGCGTCAACACCCGCCCGCGGGACCCGCCGAGCTGGGGCTGTGACGACCGTTCGCCCCTGGCCAAGAGGCCTGTGCGCCCGGAGCGGAGAGCGCGGCGTCCCGCCCCCGGCCTGGGCAGCCCGACTCCGGACGCATGCAGAGGTCCGGATCCCGGAGCTGCGCCAAATTACGACCGCCCGGGGTGGTAACCTCTCTTAACTTAGGGAGATATAATGAAAACAAACCTTAACTTCCTGTTTTGAAACCTGATTTAGTTTACTTGATGTTTGAATGCCAGCGTGAGCGTGTCTAACCTGCTAAGAAATTGGGATCTCCTGAAGTTGAGTCCAAGGAAGCGTTTACTTTGCTCACCTGACGTTTTTTGCCCAGAGTGTAACTTCCCTTCACAAAAGCGGTTAATTGTGCTGAGGCCAGTTCCTAAACTCAGCAGCAGAGGGCAGGAGTTTCTTGGCTTCCACTGCTTGAGTTTATGAAACCCCAAAGAACCGCCCCCCGCCTGTGGGAAAGAGGAGCTGAACCTAACTAATTTTGGTTTTAGTTACAAATTATGTGTGACCTCCTTGAGTTATTTTGCAGACAACAAAGTTGTATTTCTGAGAAGGTATTTCCCTCTTGTTAAGCTGCATTCTCTTTCAATGGAATTATTGATAAGTGGGAGGCTTGGCTTACTGCATAGTGTGTCTTAGTAGGCATTGAGCAACTTTTGTAGCCTTTACTAAATAACCTAGATAATACAAGAGTAAAATGAGATATAGTTCCTCTTAAGGATAGAATTTAATTGTGCAGTCAAGACATTACAAATATTTTTGAAAATATAATTGGGAGCAGGCACAGTGGCTCAAGCCTGTAATCCCAGCACTTTGGGAGGCTAAAACCAGAGGATTGCTTGAGGCTAGGAGCTCGATACCAGCCTGAGCAAGAGCTAGACCTCTTCTCTGCAAAAAATAGAAAAAAGTTAGCTGGGCATGATGGTATGTGCCTGTCGTCCCAGCTACTCAGGAGGCTGTGGCTTTAATCTCTTGAGCCCAGCAGTTTGAGGTTGCAGTGGGCTAGGGTAACACCACTGCACTCTAACCCAGGTGACACAGTTAGATCCTGCCTCAAAAACAAATAAAAATTAATTGATTACTAAAAAGAATTTAATAAGTATAGCTCATTGAGTTTTCATCGGAAATATCTACTGTGTTTGCCTTTTTCCAGTAAATAAAAATTTTAGAAGCAATAGAATGAGAGGGCAGGCAAAAGATTGAGTCCAGAGTAAACACAGTAGGGTCAGGTAAGTATAAGACCTTTGGGCTGCCTCCAGAATCTAGGAGGATAGAGAATTGAGCAGAAGAAATACTAGCTCTTTAGAGTACAGTGTGTCTTGGCTGGGACTCCCTCAACCAGGAAATCCACAGACATTCACTCTTCAGTGTGTCATCTTAAACTAGTTCCAAAGTCACTATTGCAGTTGAAAGATGGCATTTAGTCAAAATTACACTAGACAGTCTCTTAGAAGAACACCATATTGGAGATCCATGTACTGTCGCAGTAAGTTCAGCACAACCTGCTTTTCTTCCAGCGTTGAAACAGATGGCTGGTTTTGTTTGAAAACCAGATGACGTTGGCTTGCATTTTGGGCCCATGTTGTATGAAAAGTACATACTGTATCTTTAAACACTAGAATCACACTCAACATAGCAAAGTGCTTGTGCTAAAAGTGACTTAAAGGACCTGAAACTGACTGGGAAAAACAGATTCATGGTCTCCCTCTTAAACTACTTAGCACTATTTCATAAACTTATAGAGTAGAATAGCTGGTGGAATCACACTATTTAAATTATTTCTCCATATAGTTGAGCTGGAATAAATTAGTGCAGATGATACTGCTCTATAAAGTAAAAGGCGGCTAGAAATGACTATTAATTGTGTCCAAATCAGATATTCTGAGATTGGTATCTACCTGTTCCACTTCACAAAACAGTTCTAAAATCACTGGTTGCTTTTATATCACTAAACCCAATGGCATTTTTCTATTCCCATCTTCCTTATCTTTAGACACCATTGACTGCTCCCTCCTTTATTTGCCAACACCACATTCTCGAGATTTCCTCTTACCTCTCTAGATGCTGTTTCTCATTCTTTATAGTCATCTTCTTTACAAGATCTTTAATTATTTGAATTCTTCAAGATGCAATCCTAACCTCTGTTCTGTTCTCATAATGTATTTTCTTTTCACAGGAAGCTAAATGAGGTCCTCCTCCAGTCGTCCGTATCTTGGTAAACAGAACCATCCCCACATTTGCTCAAGGGAAATGCCTAAGTACCCTCCTTGACATTTCTTTGGTTCTTACCACACATCCAAGCTGTTATGAAGATCTCTTCATGTCCCTTACTATCACCCAATCCAAACCAGTGCACCTCTTGCGAAGGCTTCTATGGTAGCCAGAGTAGTTGTTTTTGTTGTTGTTTCTCTTACCAAGTTGTGAATTGACAGAAATTTGGGAGGTTTTGCATATTCTGGCCTCCACCTGCTTCATCAGGCTCCTCTCAAACCTCTCCCATTCTGGTCCTGTTGGCCTTATAGTGCCTCAGATGAGTTGTTGTCATTTCTGCCTCAGAGCTTTCATGCTTTCCTCTCTGTCTCCCACTCATCCCTCTCTTTTTCACCCAGCTAACCTCACTCATCCTTTAGTGCTCAGCTGAAGTATCCTTTCCTCATGGAAGTCTTCCCTGACCTCTCCAACTAGGTTAGGTCAATGTAATGCACTGTCTTAGCACTCCATATTTTTCATGGCCTATACCTCAACAATAATAAAGTTTTTTTTGTTGTTCAAGCAGCTTAATGTCTTTCCACACCTTCATGCCCCAGTAGAACGTAAATTCAATGAAGGTGTATTCATTGTTACATCCCCAGCACCTAGCACAGAGCCTTGTACACAACATGGGTAGTACAGTAAATATTTGCTGAATGAATGAGGGTTCCCTACATCTTAATTTTTATTGTTATGATTCTAGAACTGCTGGATGATAAAGTTTTAGCTAATCTTCCTTCCTCATCTGATCAGCTCATAGATGCCAAATGAATTTCACTAAAGCACTATTATACCTAACCATGATTGTACATAGGTACTCAATAAGTATTTGAATCAACAAATGATAGCCAAATTGTCCAGTGTATTTCCATGTTCCTCCTCTGCTCGAGAATCTCCAAAAGCTGCAATTTTAACCTTTCCTATCAAAACTGTATATTCTTTGAGGGAAGATAGTGTATCTTTTTTTTTTTTTTTTTTTTTTTTGAGACAGAGTCTCACTCTTTTGCCTGTGCTAGAGTGCCATGACGTCAGCCTAGCTCACAGCAACCTCAAACTCCTGGGCTCAAGCAATCCTCCTGCCTCAGCCTCCCTAGTAGCTGGGACTATAGGCATGTGCCACCATGCCTGGCTAATTTTTTTTTTCTATATATATATTTTAATTGTCCAGCTAATTTCTTTCTATTTTTAGTAGAGACGGGGTCTCACTCTTGCTCAGGCTGGTCTCGAACTCCTGAGCTCAAACGATCCACCTGCCTTGGCCTCCCAGAGTGCTAGGATTGCAGGCATGAGCCACCGTGCCTGGCCCAGATAGTGTATCTTATACGAAAAAGCAGTCTAGTGGAATAGAGTTAAAACTCTGGGCTTGGGTTACCTAGATTAGAATCCTGGCTCCATTTACAGACAAGACAGTTACTTCTTTAAGCTTCAGATTCCTTACTTATACAATAAGAGTTATATAGTACGTACCTCATAGGTGATATGTGGATTCAGTGAAATTTAAATGAAAAAGCATATACCAAAAGTACTTAAGTTCTAGCATGTGAAAAACGTACAATGTTAGCTATTATTTTTATCACTTCTACTTTCCTAATAACATCTAGACAACACTTGGTTCAGAGTAAGTACTCAGAAAATTCTATCTACTGATTTTGTAAGAGTAACAGCAAATGTAGACCAGTTAATAGCTATCTTAATATTGATATAAAATACCTACAAAGAGGAATTTGATGCCACCAGCTTTCCCATCAGTTGAAGAATTTTTTTCTCCATATAGCAGATTGTTGTGTGCCTACTATGTGCTGGCACTGTCCTCTAGTGCAATTCAGTCATAGGCCTGTACAGGTTCATTCACACTCTTCTCTTGAGCCCTTTATTAGCATAACTGCATTTGCCAAATGACCTCCTGAGATAGGGATATTGTCTGTGGCCATGAAGAGCAAAGTCAGCCAGCCCACATAGAAATAATACTATCTAATCATCTATAATAACTATTTGTTAAGGAGGAAACTGAGAACTTTTTTTTTCTAATTTATAGCTAAATTTTATTTATGCTACATGAAGAATGATTCTAGGTGCTTACATAAGTAGTCCTCTTTCACCAGAGAGGGAGTGTTTTAAATGGAAAAATCACTGAACCTTATAGCTGAACATCTAGTCCCAGCATTGCTTCTTTCTGGTTATATGACCTGGAACAAACCACTTAGCCTTTCTGAAGACTAGTTTCTTTTTCTGTAAAGTAAAATAATAATAACTCCCTAGAGTTGATCTGAGGATCAAAAGAAGTAATATTAATATATATGAAAGCTCCAGATGGTTTAAATTGCTATGGCAATGTAAGATGTTATCAGTGTGACTTTTTTTTCCCCCTTAATACTTGATACAAACTCATTTTTTAGGTTTTATAGCATCTAGACACCCCTCTTTTGTTCTCAATAGACCATGTTTAATTCAGGACTTGTGAGATTCCTTTCTTTGCTAATTCTAGTTTTATTAGCCCAAGACAGGACCATCAGGAGACTAAAAGGAAGACCCAGGAACCATGTTCTCTAGCAACAGAGGCCTGTGGTCACTCACACTTTTACCTACAAAGAGGCAGTACAGGCATTCTGAAAGATCCGTTGTCTTTGCTACTAAATTTTGTCAAATCTGTACACTAACCCTGTTAATTTTGTCACGACTTTTGATAAGCATGAAATGATCTGGTCTGTAATTAAAAATACAGAGATTTCAATTCATTCAGTTTTAGATGACGAGATACTGAAAAACAGTTTCTTGGGAGGAGGGGAAGGGAAGGATTCAAAAATAGTAATCAAAAGATACCTTGATGGTTTGAAAAAATTTGAGAGGTCTTGATCTGAAGCATGGAAGGATTCTTCTCAAGGTCCAGAAAACCCCCAAAATAGTTTGAGTGACTCTAATTAAGGAGCAGAAGAATTTGTGGTAAATAACCCCAAATTCATGGAGGCAGCTAACATCTAGGATAGTGGATTAGAGAATATTATTAGAAGTATCATTCTACTATAGTTTTGCATATTTTTAATTTAGTGTGACTAAATATACACAGTGCCAAGCATAGCACAATGTATTATAGATAGGGAAATCTGTAAATTCCTTGAACCAAACAGCCAAGGTGCCTGCCCTCATAAGGCTGAAATTTGTAGGGTGGTAGAAGTTGTGGAGATAAGCAATAAATAACCATGTAAGTACATAATGTGTTACATAGTAATAATTGCTATGGAGGAAAAGCAAGGGAAGATGTCTAGAAATGCCATCAAAATTCACTGTGACCCAAATCAAACTCATCTCAAATTTGCTCCCTCCAGTGTTTACTGTCCTTGATAATGACACGCTAATCATCCTACCTCCAAACCTCAAAATCATTAACTATTTCCCTTCTCTTCCATAGCCACTTATTAAAAAAAAAAATCCTGTTGATTGCACCTTCTAAATGTTCTTTAAGCCATCTCTTCCTTACATTTCCACTGCCAACAGGACCTTACAACGCCCCCTTGGACCAGTGTAACCATCTGGTCTTCCGTCTCTGGAACACAGTTCAAAGCTGTGCTTCTGAAGTTCATCCACTGCCCTGTGAGCATAGAGTGTAGACAGAGGCCAACAGGCCATAAAGCCACTGCCTCCTCCCCTTGAGGAGGCCAATTTGTTTTTATTGGCTGTGGGGCTCAGGAAATAGGGTTAGGGAAGCAAACCATCCAATATAAAATAACCATCCAGTTATTTCCTGTCATATATACCCAATTTTAGTGCTCTGTAGATGCTTTCTATTACCTGTTGCTTTTGTTCTTCATTTTCATTCCTACACAGCTCCCCCTTACCACCCTCCACTAGAATATTAGGGTTTTTTGTCTTACTTACTGTAAGAAATAAAGACATGGCACATAGTAGGTAGTCCATAAACAGTTATTAATGGATAAATGAATGACTCAGACATTTCATCAAGACTAATCTCTCGCCAGCCTAAATTAGTGAGGTGTTACTGTGAAACAACATGAATTAGGTCAGAAGTTTGTGAATTGGTTCTTGAGGAAAATGTCACCCTGATATCTTTAGTTCAGGAAAACTTCATAGAGAAAGGCCACCCCATAAAAAAGTGAGGAAGAGCAAACAAAAAGTATAAGGAAGATTCAGAACCACAAGCAAAAAAATACTGCTAATAGGGTTGTCTAAGTAAAGAAAGAAAACAGCTCAGGCATTTCCCCCATGCTTCCCTACAGTCTTCATTTTCATGTGTAAGGGTGCCAAGGTAAAACTTCAGTGTTAAGTTATGTATCTAGTGCTGAAGACTGGGTTTCTTTGGGATTCCATTGAATCAAATCTTTCATATCTGTGAGACATTTGAGATACATTGAGATAGGAGATCTCAAAGGCAGAGAATATAAGAGCACATATTTTGGCACCAGAATACCTGGGTTTGAAAGCTGGTTCTGCCATTTCTTTGCAGAGTAACCGTGGGTAAGTTACTTAATTACTAAATATAATCATGAAATATCTACCTTAAACAGTTGTTATGAGGAATGCAATTAAAATAAGTAAGGTCCTTGGAACAGCACCATGTTTATTTTAATTGCTGTGTAAGTGTTCAAGATTACTGCTATTATTCCTTGTCGAGACTTAATTTAGCTATAATATTTTTCAAACAACTTTCTTATGGTGAGATTACTGTAGTTCAGTTGAAGTGACATGTGGCTAGTTTACAAGCATGTTGAAAGCAAAACAATTTATGCAGTTTCTTTAATATAAATTATCTGTGTGAGAAATATGCTAATATTAACTCTGTTCCAATTGTGTGATTATCTTCCATTTAATTTTCAGGAGAATCCTCATTGACACTGGAGAACCATCAATTCCAGAATATATCAGCTGTTTAAAGCAGGCTCTAACTGAATTTAACACAGCAATTCAGGAAATCATAGTGACTCATTGGCACCAGGATCATACTGGCGGCATAGAAGATATTTGTAAAAGCATCAATAGTGGTAAACAGAAAGCATTCATTGAGCTCACCGAGGAAAGCTGTCTTTGGAGAATAATTTATTTCAGTTACAGAGCTAAGTAATCTATAAACCTAATATAAGCTAAATATATTTAAATGGTACTTCTAGAAATGTATATGACTTGAATACTGTCCCCAACTTTAACAAAGGAAAGGAAAAGTCCTGTTTTCTGTTTTAAATCTCCCTCTCATTCTCTTTTCTCAGTGATGAAGGTCAGTTTTAATTTAGTCTGTGTGACAATTACTGCTTCGGACTTATTAATAATAACTAACAACTGTTGAGCATTTATTCTGTGCCAGGCACTGTGCTAAACACTTCATGTGGATACTGTGAAGTAGGTGCTGTTACTGTCCACATTCTAAACATGCTCTCAGGCCTTTCATAACTTGAAGGTAATTACTAAGATATACTGAAATTGAGGTAAAATGTCATTGTATTGATAATTCTTTGTCCCTGAAACTTATTCAGTATTGACCTTTTACCATCTCTCTCCTTATTCTCATCCCACCATCATATACCTAGTTCATTCATTTAACAAATGTTCAAGTGACTTCTATATGTCAGGCACTGTTCTATGTAGCTTTCATTCCAGCAGGAAAGATAAATAGTAAATAAATAATAGATTAGATGATGATGGATGCTATGAAGGAAAATAAAACTACAAGAAGAGAAAGAGGAGAGAGTAAAGTGGAAGAGAGCAGGGGCTATTATGTCTAGGTTGGACAGGGAGAAGGAGTAAGCTCCTGAGATGAGGGCGTGCCAGGCAGAGGGCATAAGAAGAGCAAAGATGCTGGTATGGGAGTGTGCTTGGCATGTTTAAAACACAGCAAGGAAGTGAAGGATATTCATTCACACAAAGATTTGCATGTGTATTCAATGATTATTTTATTTTTAAAAAATAGGTTTTTTTAGGCCTTGAGACTACAATTGGGACACCAAGATAGTCTCAGCTACCACACTTAATATCATCAGGCTGCAAGTTATAAAAAACTGTCTAACCTAACTTTTTTTCCCTCTTACCTCCTTTCTTCTAATCCAAGGGAACTGTGTGCCGTGGGAACTCATATAATCTCTCACTCTGACTTTCCTTGTTTTGTCTATCTACCTATTAAATTTTGTGAATTAAAAAACTATTCTAAACAAACAAAAAAAAACTATTCTGAGGCTTCTTAATTAGCTTTGTTACATTAGTCAACTCTTTTAGCATGAGGATCAATTTGAAAAATTAAAATGTTTGTGTCCTGTTTTTTTCCTTCATAAATCAACTTTACTGAGCTTTAATATACGTACATAACATGCCCTTTTTAAGTGTACAGTTTGCTAAGTTTTAACAAATGTAAATACCTATGTAACTACTCCAGTCAAAATACGGAACACTTCCTCCATCCCAAAAAGAGGTTCCCTTGTGCCACTTTGCTGTGGTCCCCCCACCACCTCCAAGACCACTCATCTGCTTTCTTACACTATACGTTAGTTTTGCCTGTTCTAGAATTTCATGTAATGAAAGTATATAGACTCACTCCCTAACAACCTATATTTCTATAGCCCACAACAAAAATAGAAATGCCATTTATAAGATCTGTATGAGAAGATACAGTAACTTCAAAGCAAACTGCTTACAAAATTTTAAAACATAATCAGGGTATAATTTGGAAACTCCTAGTGTCTTGCAGGGAACCAGAATTTTACTAGATATGAGGACTACGTATTCCCAGTTGAGTTTTTGCTTTTCTTTAAGTAAATCTTGTTAAACAGTGGTCCCCACCCTTTTTGGCACCAGGGACCGGTTTCATGGAAGACAACTTTTCTATGGACCAGGAGTTGGGGGGATGATTTAGGGATGATTGAAGCACATTACATTTACTGTGTACTTTATTATTATTACATTGTAATATATAATAAAATAATTATACAACTCACCATAATGCAGAATCTATTGCCAGCGCTGATCTGACAGGAGGCAGAGCTCAGGCAATGATGCGAACAATGTGGAGTGGCTATCAATACAGACAAATCACCTCTTGCTGTGCAGCCCCATTCCTAAAAGGCCACAGACCCTTACCAGTCCACAGCCTAGGGGTTGTGGACCACAGTTGTAAAATATGTTCTGGTATCTGATAATTAAAAATTATTTTGCAGCTGAGGTTGGGTCTTTGCCACATATTTGACATCTGAGTCCTCAAGAGTCAAATGTTTGCTTGTGTGCTATTCAATTAGAATGTGTTTATTAGAAATTATTATACATAAACAATATCACATGTTTGTGTTAGCTTAAATAATTAGCATTACCAATGATGTTTTAATCCATTATACAAACCTTAACAAATGACTGAGAGTTTACTCCTGTTAAAATAATTATAAGATAGAGACAGAAAGTAGATAAGTGATTGCCAGAGGCTGGGAAGGAACAAATGGGGACTGACTATCACTAAGTACAGAGTTTCTTTTAGGGGCTTTGAAAATTAGATAGTGGTGATAGTTGTACAGTTCTTCAAATGTACTAAAAAACTACTGAGTTGTACACATTTAAAGGGTGAATTTTATAGTATGAATTCTATCTCAGTAAATTATTAAAAATAATAATTATTATTATGTGATTGCTTTTAGCATTCTCCATCCTGCCTGTCAGCAACTATTGTAACTAAGATATGTGTTTTCATTTATATTTGCACATAATTTTGAAAACTGATCCCAAGTTATAGTATGACATTTATTTTGTAATTTTGAGATAATTGTAAATTTCTTGAAAGATTATCTACCAAAGATCTCATAACTAGAAATGTAATACCTCCACTCCTTTACTGAAAGATAAAATTATACAGATTAAAAACAAAAACAAACAAACAAAACTTACTATCTCAATCTTGTTATATAATGTCAGTTCCCAGAAAAGCATATAATTGTTTTGCTTTGGCCTCTAAGATGCAAAATAATGGAGTTTGGATTGTTTGTTTTATTTCTATTTCAACGTTTCTATCTCCTTTATCCCCCATGCTAGCCAGATTTCTGTGCCTTGTCAATTTTTCTTTTAAATGTCTTTTTCTCCCTCCGTATTTTCAGTGCCGCCACCCTGACTCTAATATTCCTTACCTTCCGGCTGGCATATTACAGTCATCCCTTCCTGGTCTCTCTAATCTTCCTCCTTTAGTCTCCCCACCCATAGCCACTCTATTAATCAACCAGTTAACACTATTTCAGTGTCCTAGTAAGACACTTAGTAAGCATCCAGTGGTCACATATGATAAAGTTTAAATTCCTCTATTCAGTGAATGGCAATTTAAGGACCTCCATGATCTGAGCATATCTTACCTATCTAAGTTTATCTCCATTCTTCCCAGCCAGTATTTTGCATTAGACAAGTTGGTGGCATTATGTTGTTGCACATGTGCTTGCTCATTCTCACTTTAATGACTTTACTAATGCTGTTCCCCTTACTTACAAGTCCTTCTCTGTATCTTTACCCATCCTGCTGAACCTGTAAGTCATACATCAAGTCCTATCATATTTATGAATCCTTCCCTGTTTCCCCTTTCTCTGAACTCCTGCTGCTTTTATTAGCTGAATTGTCCATTTAGTAGTCACTAAAAGATACTGAGTATATAGTTCTTTGTCTCCTGATTGTAAGTTTTATTTCCCCAACAATGGCAGCTTTTAAGTACTTTGAGGTTATGGAGCTTGTCGTCACTATACATAGTATACTGATGAGATAATTGGCACTCAACTGTGGATTGGTTAGTTAATAGATTTTTGTGTGTGTCAGTGAGGGGTAGTATGGGTTAAGCTTATTTTAAAGGTTTAATATCTTAGCCCCGGAGCTGGGGCTCCCTTTCAGCACTCAGAGCAAGGACCTTTTGTCATCCTTTTGTCACTAGCTACTGCCATGACTTCTTTACTGTACGGTAGGCACCTAAATAAAGTTCTCAGGTTCTGCATTACTGCCTCTTCAACACCTGTTAGGATGTCAAAGCCAGCTGAAATTATGAAGTACTACTTCCAAATTTTTGTATAAACCAGGAGTTATTAGAAAAACACAAAGGCTTTTATGTAGACCTAGCAGGGCCTGAGAGAATAAAGAGCTCTTTTGTTCAGATATACAAAATAGTTACATCCCAGAGATAAGCTGCTATAATTCAACCCATTTTCTGTTGGTTTCTTTTTTCATATCTTTTTGACATTCGGAGAACTTTGTGCTGTATTGTTTCTTAATGTTAGTATTTTATGCAGTCATTCCACAATTGTTAGCTCTATGAAAATTTATCTCTTAAAAGGGTAAATTATCATTTAAAGTGTGACTTAATATTATTTCACATGTTTTGTGACCAGACACTGCCTATTGTATTAAAAAACTCCCACGGAATCCTCATAGAGAAGAAATTATAGGAAATGGAGAGCGACAATATGTTTATCTGAAAGATGGAGATGTAATTAAGACTGAGGGAGCGACTCTAAGGTAAGTAAATGTCCCTTAGCCAGGGAAGGCAAGGGGTCTATGTATGTGTTGTAAAAAAGAGGGAAAAGCAGATTTGTACTGTGAAGACTACCTCAGAAGGATACAAAAGAAATCTGGTATAACACTGAAGGGAGAAAATGGGTTGCTTGAGAAAGAGGAAAAGAAAGACTTCGGCCAGGCGCAGTGGCTCACACCTCTAATCCTAGCACCGCGCCCAGCCCCAGACCACCTTTCTAGTCCATAACTCCTATTGCAAAAATACTTGGCCATATGCAAATTCTGCTGGGCATATTATGTGTGTTCATGACTTTGTTTGTATCTTCTTCTTTACTAGGCATTGCTCCTTTCCCCCTACTTGTCTTCCTAATAAATTCTTACCGGTTTGGCCGGGCGCAGTGGCTCACACCTGTAATCCTAGCACTCTGGGAGGCCAAGGCAGGCGGATTGTTTGAGCTCAGGAGTTCGAAACCAGCCTGAGCAAGAGCGAGACCCCGTCTCTACTAAAAATAGAAAGAAATTAATCAGACAACTAAAAATATATAGAAAAAATTAACCGGACATGGTGGCGTAGTCCCAGCTACTCGGGAGGCTGAGGCAGAAGGATTGCTTGAGCCCAAGACTTTGAGGTTGCTGTGAGCTAGGATGATGCCACGGCACTCTAGCCCGGGCAACACAGTGAGACTCTGTCTCAAAAAAAAAAAAAAAAAAGAACTCTTTCTGAGCAAAATTAACTGCTGCTTCTTCCAGCTTTCATAATAAATTTTGTTATGAAAATAACAAAAATAACACTTACTAAATTGTGGCTTTTTGTGTGTGAGTAGGTGCCCTCTTAGAAGGTAATTAGCTCCTTAACTTCACAATATTAGTCAAGGCCAATTGCCATAGCAAATCAACTCAGAAATGTATAATGGCTCAAACATGAAATAAGTTTATTTTTCGGTCACATAAAGTCCACGAAAGGTTTGTGATTAGCCGGTTGGCCCTCCTACAAGTAATGATTCAGGCTCTTTTTAAAGTCTTGTGATTCCACCCTCTTCAACACTTGCCTTTCAAGATTGCCATGCTCACCTCAATCAATCCAGCAGGTAGAAAAGAGCATAGAAGGGATAATGCATGAGAGGTTTGCATGAACTAAGCCTTGTATTGCATTTTCTGTAAACTCCATCATATACCACTTGCATTGGACAAATTTGGTGGTATTGTGTTGTTGCACATGTGCTTGCTCATTCTCACTTTAATGCCTTTACTAATGCTGTTCCCATTACTTACAAGTCCTTCTCTGTATCTTTACCCATCCTGCTGAACCTATAAGTCACACATCAAGTTCTATTGTGTTTATCAATCCTTTCCTGTTTCTCCTTTCTCTGAATTCTTGCTGCTTTTATTAGCTGAATTGTCCACTTAGTGGTCACTAAAAGATACTGAGTATATAGTTCTTTGTCTCCTGATTGTAAATTTTATTTCCCTAACTGTACAGAGGCTGGGAAATATCAATAATTTGTTCATGACACCAAAGGAAAACAAACATTACATTACTATTTCAAAAAGTATTCTTGACAATACTGAATTTCCTCCATAGCACACCAGCCCTGGGCCAAGTTAATGCAAGGGGTAGAGATGGTAAGTGGTTCATTGAGACTTCTGTCTCAGAGGTTTGGGACTCACAGTACTGGTTTATCACAGCTGTCATAGAATCATGGATATTAGATCTATACCTAAAAGTGTACATAAGTGTACAACATGATGAATTTTTACAAACTGAACAAGCACTCATATCAGCAGCACTCAGAGGAAGAAACGAAACAGTACCAGTGCCCCAAGCTCCTACTTCCATCCTTGCTTCCTGTCACTGCCTCCCCTTCAGTTGAGTACTGTCTTGGATTCATGGAGTGAATTGATGCAAAAGATCTCAATATTATCTGAATTCTATTTAGTTTTTGTTTTACCACATTCCGATTAAGAGAAGTTAAATGTGGGAATCTATGTTAAGAGTGGGAGGGAGTAACACAAAGAATCAGAAAAGCAGACACACTTTTTAAAATGACTGTTAGTAAATAATCTTTTCTCAAAATATAAATTCTAGTTATGATAAAGCCTGAATAAAACATTAATTTTCTGATGACCATGTTTTCCAATTTCCATTTTTATAAAGTTAGTGAGAGACCCAATTGTTTTAAACATTAACGTGAAGACTTAGTGTTGAGCAAACATTCCATAAGTAGAAGGTTAAAATCTGCTTAATCCTCAAGTATTCATTGTCCAGTTGATCTTGCCTACTTGCCAACTTTTGGAAAAAAACAAAATACAGTAGGGGCAGAGATAATACCCAACAAGAACCCTTGTACTAAAGAGTAGAAAACTAGAAAGGTTTTTCTGTAAGAATTTGATTCTGGATGTAACCTTTAGGAATTTTCTAATGAACTAAGTTTAATTTCTTGAAGAAAAGTCAATGTGACAATTTTTATTCACTGTTCTGAATTTTCTAAGAGAGCCATTCTTAAAGTCTACCCTATCACAGAAGTGGCAGCACTAGATAAATTTTCTACCTGATGAATGGGAAGGCCACAGCTGCAATTCCTCTGATCTTTAGCAAAGCACATCTGATGTCATTTCCTTTTCTCCTCCTGCCTATGTGACGTGAATTTTAACACAGTTATACACAAATTAAAGCATTAACCACCCAGGTGACTGGAGAATTGTAATGTCTGATCCCCTAATTTAAGAAATTTTACTGCCTCCAACCTAGAAAATGTCACAGAAAACCATAACTGAGTTCTGGTGTGGTGGAGGGGTGGCACAGAAAATAAAGGAAGCGTTCCAAATGCATTGAAAGAGAAGACAGTTTAAAGAATCTGAAAGAGTGGTTCTCCAAATGAGTTTTTGTGTTCATAAGATTGTCCATAAGATATAACACACACCCACACACAGATACATATTTTCATAGTTGGCTGTAAATTATTTTCATAATTTCCCTTGGAAAAAGGGAGTTATTTTCATCTAACATAACTTTTATTAACAGCTTACTGTGAGTTTAATCAGGCAAAAGAGATGGTTTCTAACAGCTTTTTACTACCTCACCATTGGAGCAACTATAATGTAATTGTTTGCAATACCTGAAGCATACCCTTGGAAATAAAAGCATAATAGTTCATAATGTCAGGCATTGGCCTTTCAAAAATAATTGCTCCCATTATACTCGTATCATGTGGTCTTATACCTTATATCTATTATGTTTTTGATGGAGTTTTTAAATACTTTACAGATTTAATATTTAATATTAAGGATTTGATTGATTTTTAATTTTTGGCAAAGGAGAAATTCCTCTAAGTTAGAGTCATTTTATTTTTCTTAAATACTGTCATTTAAGAGTTAAAATTTGTCAAATGTCTCTTTAATGTCTAGGAAAATAAGCTTATTTTCTCCATATCTTTATTATTATTTTCAGTGACCTTATAATGTTGGAACACCCTCACATTTTTTTAATAAACTTTCTTTGATCGTATGTCATTTTCAGTGTGGTTTTGGATTCTATTTGCTAATATTTTAGTTAATATTTTTACAACAATATTAGTGAGATTGGGTAACATTTTTCTTCTTACGCAACCTTTGTTAGTTTTGGGCTTCATAAGTTTTCCTAATATAGGATAGCTTAATAGTGAAATTATCTGACCTTTGAATGTTTGGTAGAATTATCCCATGAAAATACTGAGCCTTTAGTTTCTAATGACAATCACACGTCTTTTTAGTAGAGCTTCACTGTTGCCTATTAGTAATGTGGTCCTGTGAGGTAAGCTTAACACAAATAACTTTATTTCCGTGTACTTCTTCTTACAGATCTTTTAAATACAAGATTGGCCTAAACAAATTTTATATTCTAAATTGCTTCTATCACATCATTTTGTTGAAGAAAAAGTTTGCTTATTGTTATAGCTTCTAGAATCTAACATCCAAACTTGAAAATGTATTTGGATGTCATTGGCTAGGGTCATCAAGGTCTCAAGGAAGAGAGACACATGTACTTACCTTTGATGGTATAGGTTTGTTGTGCAGAAACATACAGGTAACTGATATAAATAATTAGCTAAAGAGGTAAAAGTGGTTGCCTCTAGAGAGAAAGAAATGAAACAGGGTAGGGAAGTAATGGAAACAGATCCTGGAGAACTTTTGATTCCTTGCTACATCTTGATTTTTCAATTTTAGGTATTTATTAATTTCCTCCCATGAAAAAATTAGGATTGGGTTTTCCTCTTCTACTTATGGGTACCATTGCTATCCTCCAACCTCTCAATGTCATAGTTTTGGTTAGACCAGTATTCAATGTTTATGTTATTATGACTGTGGACACTATTTACAGCTGAACTGTGTATTATATAGTAAACCATGCCTTCTTTTGCTTTCCTGCAATTAATAATTATTTTGCTTTGTTATTTGGATAGTTTTCTATGTATTAATATTTATAACTTAATTCAAGTCTGAGTATATAAATCTTCTCTCAGAATGTTTACATGTGTCAGAGATTCTCTCAATTTCATCTTCTGAAACAAGCTTCCCTCTGAGCTTTCTAATTTCTAACTTTCTCCAGTCTGGACTTGTTTTCCTCCAGGCCTGGCATTGCTGTCATCTCAGATTCTCTTCACTCTCACATAGAGCTTCCTTTTGCCTCTCTTTGGTGTTACATTTCCTCTTTCCTGTACCCCATAACTTTCTTGATGCCCTCTCTTTTGGAGGGGAACCCATCTCCAGTAGCTTCCTAAGGAAGGATGAATTTTTATCTAATAGTAACTTTTTTAATCCAACTTGATTTAAGGTTTCTGGGGTATAGATTCTAAGTAGAAAGTCTTTTTCCTTCTCAGTTCTATATACAAGATTTCATTTCCTTCTGGTTTCATTAATGCAATTAAGAAATCTGAAGCCCTTCTGATTCTTGAACTTTTTATGTCACGGCTCTTGTTCTTTTTTCCTTCTTGTCCACTATGGTGTGAAATTTCACAGTGATGTGCTTTGGTGGGAGTTTATGGTGCTAGGTCCTGTTAAAGAGAAGAATTATTTGTGACACTTATTGAAGACTATAAGGCAGACTTTATTCAAGGGGAGCCATGGCAGTAAGTATAGGAACTACTAAAATGAGGTCTTGCAACGGGGGAGAGAGATTGGGCTCCATGACTCCAACAAGGACAAGTGGGGATTTATAACCAAGGAGCAGAGTGGGAGTCAGTGGATGGGAAATCACTAAGAGGAAACATCAGGGGTAAAGGGGTTTCTGGCTAAACTGACTTGACAGGATTATTGCTGAAGGCAGGCCAAAGCGATAAGATATGGTGGGAGGGGGGCTTCAGATACCAAGGGTGGGGGATTTTTCCCTAAACTGACTTAGCAAATTCTTGCTCAGACTTGATTGTGTAATGACAGGGAGGGAATCTCAGGGTCAGGCCTAGTCAGCGTAGGGAAGGAAAGTGTTTCTCGGCCCTCTTAGAGTCCCTGGCTGGGTAAGAAGACAAAACTGACAAAGACAGATTAAGAGGGGAAAAAATGCATACAAATTTATTTAATAAGTTTTACATGGTACATAGAAAAATACAATAATAGTAAGTGAAAAATTCAAACATCAGGTATTAAAACAATATCAATTTTGTTTTTAAAATATAAATATGCATAAAAAGTGAAAAAATTTACACTAATAAAAGCACTCTGAGTGATGGAAATGATGGCTGATTTTTATCACCTTTTTTCCACATTTGTTGTAATCAGTACCTATTATAAAATAAGGAAAAAAGTGGGAGAAGTAGTAAATATACACTTCAGCATGAGAAATGTGACTTAGTTAAAGGGGACAATTTTCTGATAATTTTTAGTGGTCACATGGGAAAAATAAGAGCTTTTTAACTCCTTGGCATCATTTATTTGTGTCTTGTCCAAAGATAAGGATAGAGAATAATTTACTTCTCAAAATTTCTCCTAAGTCTCGGAGTTTGTAATTGTTACTATTTCTTATTTCTTCCTTCATCCAGAGTTATATATACACCTGGCCACACTGATGATCATATGGCTCTCTTCTTAGAAGAGGAAAATGCTTTCTTTTCTGGAGACTGCATCCTAGGGGAAGGAACAACTATATTTGAAGACCTCTATGATTATATGAACTCCCTAAAAGAATTATTGAAAATGAAAGCTGATATTATATATCCAGGTGAGTAATTTTCTAAATCTAGCAAACTATTTGTGTCAAATGATGAGAAAGATTGATTTTGGCTTGTCTCTGTGTATTCAGCCTTGAAGAGATACATATTAACCACTTCTTTAAATTACACCCCTCAGTCTTATCTAGCCATGCAGTTAAAGAGAAGGCTGAGAGTTATATTAGCAACTTTTTATGAAGACATGAGGGTTGTTTTTCAACATCTAAGCGCCTATTGATAGAACTGTTAAAAAAGGAAATAAGCTTACATTGGAACAGGAAAACTTTTTCATTCCATACACTACCATCATTTTTGTGAACTTGATTTCTACTGTGGGCCACATTGTAGCTGTGTAACCTTGGGTAACATTTGACCTCTGAGCTCTAGTTTCTTAACTCACCATATCGCAATATCAAGAGCTTCATCTCAGCTGTAAAATAGTGTATTTATTTCTGTTCTCCAGAAAAGGAAACCCGCTGTTAGCATCTCATATTGTACTGCTCTACAATATGAATGTCTCCATCTCAAAGCTAAGAAAGATACAGGACCCGGTAAGAAAGCCCAGAAGGAAAACGGGACTAGGTTACTTAATTTCTTAATTACTTCTAACTTGTTCCTAACCAGACAGCCATGGAAAGATCTGTCAATACAGTGTCTTCAGTATACTTACATGCTCTCATTAGTTCCTACTGCTGAGGGAATAGGAAACATACAGTGGAGCTGGGCATTTAGAGTAATATTATGACATAAAAGGAATGGAAGCTGCTAGCTATTTTTAAAAAGAAGAGAGTAGGGCATTCAGTGTACTCACATCGAAGCTGGGTTAATAAGAGGCTACCTGGTAGAGGTTCTTAGAGTGTTTGCTTTAGTGAATCCAGTGAACTGGCTTTATTAGCACAGCAGTTGTTTTTATGTAAATTATGCTCTGTAGCCATAGCTACCATATATTAAAGCCTGCTAGCCGTCAGGTTGTACAGAGGCCTTTACAGCTGTCATCCTCACAAAAGCTCTGTGAAGTAGGTAGTGGTGTCCTCATCACACAGCTGAAGAAACAGGCTCAGAGAGATTAGAGACTTTCTAATGGCCACACAGCTAATAAATGATAGTCTGTGTCTAATCAAAGCCCATGCTCCATACATGATAAATAGGTTAGCCTGCTTCCAGATACTTTGTTCTCAGATATTTGAAACATTACCCTTGCAGACTTGTGTAATATATTAATTTGCATTGTCTTAAAGAGGAAGTAAATTTCAGCGTAACTTAATCTGTCTGGGTTGTCAAATTTTCTGAATGACTAGCCTCCACATATGACTCTTAAAGTTCTAGTATGGGTCTTGTGAATTGTTAGCATTGGTCACTTACATGAAGCTGTCTTTTACATTCCCCTTTTCAGTCTTTTATAAGTAAGCTTAGCACAGTGGTTAAGATCTCCCAAGTGAGAACTGCAGCTCTGCCCCTTCTTAGCTATGTAACTGGACAGGTTATTTACCCTCTCTATGCCTCAGTTTCTGTTCTTAAAAAGGGATAATAATACTACCTGCCTCATGAGATTCTTGTAAGAATAATGTATATTAAGCATTTAGAGCAGTGCCTGGCATATAGGAAGCACTCCATAAACATTATCTGATAATTGTTGTGGTTGCTGTTTTTATTACCATATTTTATTAATTTTTTATTTCATATTTTTAGTGTACACAATAACATTTTCTATAGATTTTATTTGCTATAATTTTCTAATTCGAGAGGCATTATATGTAACCTTAAATCTTTCATACCTGTATAGCTTTCCAAATAATTTATATTTGTATATTTAGTGTGCTTTCTTACTACACCAAATGAGTTACTTTTAAATAGAGTGAGTTAACTTCAGCTGTACTTAATATTTTTTACCTGGTTGAAGTAATTTTTATAACTATTTTAATTTAGGACATGGCCCAGTAATCCATAATGCCGAAGCTAAAATTCTGCAGTACATTTCTCACAGAAATGTCCGAGAACAGCAAATTCTTACAGTACTTCGTGAGAACTTTGAAAAATCATATACAGTAGTGGAGCTTGCAAAAATTATTTATAAGGTAATTTTCATTTGTACATAGTCATGAATTTATTAGAATAATCTATTTAATAGGCTATAAATATGGTAAACTCACCATATCCCAGATCAGAACAAGTCTGTTAATTTTATGTTATGCCTCTTGTCTAGATTTGAGACCAGCAGTCTCAACTTTCTAGAACACTGATGTTAAACAAAAACTGGCCTTAGAGAATGAAAATAGCTATTCTGGGCCATCATTAAACCTTATATATATACTTTACTCTGTAGGAGAAACTCCTAATGACAGCCTAATAATTAAGTTTATATGTTATTCTAGCCATCGTGATTATCTAGTGTCCTAGCCTGCAAGTGAGAAGGGGTGATCTGCTAGAGACAAATATTGGAGTAATAGCAGCAAGAAGTAGTAACAATGCTCAACAATGGAGAAAAAGGAGAAAATACATATCAAAGAACATGAATAATTTAGTATGTAGGGAAAGAGCCTTACACCTCAGTGGCCTCTGAGTACATCACTGTAAATTGATAGCACTACGTGGCCATCAATTAGTGAATTCAGTTTTTCAGCAAATGTTTATTAGATGTCTGCTCTGTAGGTAGTATAGCTTAGAGGGTAAGAATGTAGGCCTTGGAGTAAGATTACCTACGTTTAAAAACTCTCACTACTACAACTTATACAGCCATAAGTTATAAGAGATTGTAACTAAAGATGAATTTGAAAAGGCAACCTGGGGCCAGTTACAGTTAATAAAGGGCCTTAATGTCCCATAGGCCAAAGTTATCAAGAAACAGTTAATTCATACTCATTGTGCTTTGTTTTAAAAAGGAGGGATGAATGGTTAAAATGTCTATTAAGATATTAAATGTCACTGGCAAAAGAATAATATAAATATTTAAATATTGAGAAACAGTCCATTTCTTCATAATACCAGAGTATAGCCATTGTAGACTATACATTGGTACACTGGGGGTTTTTCCCCCTAACCTAAGTACAGGTAGTAGAACACTCTGATAACCCTCAGCAATGAGTCATCAAGTAACTAACTGCCCATGCCTAAAAATATGATGATTCTGGCCAGGCCCAATAGCTGTAATCCTAGCACTTTGGGAAGCTGAGGCAGGAGGATCACCTGAGCCCAGGAGTTTGAGACCAGCCTGAGCAACATAGCAAGACCCCATCTCTTTTTAAACATCTCTAAATGTTTAAAAATTACCTGACCATGGTGGCACACGCCTGTAGTCCCAGCTGCTCGGGAGGCTGAGGCAGAAGGATCACTTGAGCCCAGGAGTTTGAGGTTGCAGTGAGCTATAATGACACCACTGCACTCTAGCCCAGGCAACAGAGCAAGATCTTGTTAAGAAAATAAAAAGTTTATTCTACATTCAGAAGTGTATTTGGGGTGTGCGTGTGTGTTTTTTTTTTTATTGGCAGTATTCAGTGACCTATCAGTGTATATTCATAAGTGTCTTCACTGTGCATGTGTATGGAGCAACTGTTGCATGTGGAATGGCATTAGGTATTACAGAATGATTTATTCATTCACAGATAAAAAGATGACTACAGATCCCTGCTCCCAGGGATTCATGGTTTAGTGAAGACAGGTATGTTCAACAGATAGTTGTAATACTGGCTCTATCATAATTGTTTCCATCTATATAGCACATTACTACATGCTAGACACTATACTGAGTGCTTTATATATAGTACCTCAAATTTTTACCACACAAAGATGGTACTATTCCAATTAAATAGATAGAAAACTGAAACTCAAAAAGTAACTTTGCCAAGAGCACACAACTAGTAGATGTCAGATACTCAGATCTTGTGTTTTTCTTCTATACCCACCTTCCTCCAAGTCCTAAACATAGTATGTCAGAGCAGAAAAGAAAGAGAAATCAGTCCTTCCTAATGAAGATGCAGTGTAACAAGGCTTGTCTGGAAAGCCTTCAGAGACTTATTATTTAATTGAATCTTAAAGAAGGAGTGAGCATTTTCTAGGCCAGTGTAGAGGAGAAAGAAGTTATTCTTGACGGAAGGAAAAATCGGTTCAAACACTAAGAATAATAAAAGAGCATTGTGTGTTTGAAACACCACAAAGAAACCACATGTGACTGGAGCACAGGTTGCATATATGGATGGACAGGAAGGGAGTTCAAGGAAATAAGGGAGGAAACGGAGGCATAATCGCATCATGGGAAGCTTGAATGCTAACTAAAAGATTGGGGCTTTAGCCAATAATCTGGAAATGATCACTCAAGGATCTTAGGCAGGGAAGTCACATAGTGAGATCTGGAAGACGATACTGGTAGATACAGTATATGGTACTGGAGCTTAAGGGCAAATTTGGTGTTGGGAGTTTAGATTTGGGAATCATTAGTGCATAATTGCTGTGGTGAGTTGGCTGAGTAAAAAAGAGAAGAGAGCCTATGATACAACTCATTGTTAATATCAATGTTTAAGAGAAGTTAGGAAGAATATCCAGTGAAGACTAAGTATAAGAGAGGTAGGATAATCAAGGGAAAAAAGAGAAGAGCTCTTCCAAAGGGAGAGACTAGCCAGTTGACTTTCAGGTATGATGAGACTAAAAGAATATATTGAATTTTGACTGAGATAATTTGATGATCTTGGCAAAACATTTTCAGGGAGCTGAGTAGAGAACATGAATCTAGTCAAGAAACTTGGCTTTAGAAATATAATCCTTATTTGAAGAATAAAAGGTAGCCAGGCATGGTGGTGTCCACCTGTAGTCCTAGCTACTCAGAAGACTGAGATTGAGGGTTGCTTGATGCCAGGAGTTCCAGACCAGCCTGAGCAACATAGCAAGACCCCATCTCTATAAAAAAATAGGAAAGTTAGTCGGGCATAGTGAAGTGTGTCTGTAGTACCAGCTACTCAGGAGGCTGAGGCAGGAGGATTGCTTGAGCTCAGGAATTTGAGGCTGCAGTGAGCTATGATCAGGCTACTGCACTCCAGCCTGGGCAACAGAGCCAGACCCTGTCTCTAAAAAAAAAAAAAATAAAAGCAATGTTTGCTTTGTTTTTCATTCAGGTAACAGTTGTCAATATTACATTGCTATTTTAACAAAAGTAAAGGAAAAATTACGAGTTATAATGTTGAAATATATATACTTTTATTAAAATCTACAAGGATATTATCCTATAACCTAATCAATAAACTATAGGGCCAACTGTCTGTAGCGTCATCAAAACTAAGAATAATTTGGGCTGGGCATGGTGGCTCACGCCTGTAATCCTAGCCCTCTGGGAGGCCAAGGCAGGAGGATTGCTTGAGCTCAGGAGTTCAAGACCAGCCTGAGCAAAAGCAAGACCCTGTCTCTACTAAAAATAGAAAAAAAAAAATTTAGCCAGGCATTGTGGGGTGTGCCTGTAGTCCCAGCTACTCCGAAGGCTGAGGCAGGAGGATCCCTTGAGCCCAGGAGTTTGAGGTTGCTGTGAGCTAGGCTGACGCCACGGCACTCTACTCAGGGCAACAGAGTGAGACTCT